GACGGGAATGTTATTTTTTTCTTCCTTTGTACCTGAACGCCTCGGCAAGTCTCTGTCCCTGTCCACCCACTGCAGCTGCCCCCCAGTGTGGCCCTAAAGGAGCCGCCGTGATACAATAGTTACACTAACCCACTCCACCCGTACGCGTCTGTCTGCGAAACACTGGTCCCTTTGGTTATAATACACTGTAAAAAGCTCTCCATTAGGCCACTCCGCCATATGCCTCCCACACATCAGCTCTCAGCCCTCAGGTCTCAGTCAATTCCCTCGCTAACGCTGCATCCATGTGTGTCGGTTTGTGTGTGTGATTGAGAGAGAGAGAGACGGAGTATTTCTGTCTGTTTGTACTGGGATGGAGAACCCTGGCAAGCAATCAGGGCCAAAGAAAGGAGGCCAGCAGCTGTTACCTGTAATAGAGGGCAGCGAAACAGGGTTTTTTTTTATTTCTTCTTCTGCTCGTGGAGATAACAGCGTGAATGTGTGCATGACAGCCAGAGACAGAGCAGGTACAGCCAACAGTTCAGTGAAAGTATGATTTTAATCAGATTTAAAACTAACTACTAATGAATGATTTAAACCCCGACGTGATACAGTCAAAAAAAGCAAATTCCAACATTGGAGGAGCACCAACTTGGATGCCAGGAGGATCTGTGCACATTTGTTCTGTTTATATCCGACTGAGAATCCAAAAATCGAGCCTTTAGTTTGTTGTTCAACACAAAAAGACCAATTATGTCTCGTTTTTTTTCTGCTTATGATCAAGCCAGAAATAAGAAACAAAAACAGACTGGATTGATATTTAATCAGATTTATTTATTTATGTGTTGCATTTGCACCAAATATGCATAAAGAAAAACAAAAAAAAGCATCACTCCACGTATGCAGACATCCAGCTATCCATCCGCAGCTCCATCGGCTATTCAGAGAATCGTGCATAATGTTACCTGCGTGCATCCCGATAGCTTCTGGCTGTGAATCCGCTGCGTTAACCACTGAGCCACTCTACATAAACAAGTTCACATTATCGACTGTGAAGTGCTTCTGAGGTTCGTGCTGACAACATGACGGCGACGAGAGAGACTTGGGTTTGAGTCCTGGGCTGTTTCTGCATGTTCTGCTTTTCTGTGAATGTGACGTGGCCCTGGGATGGACACCTGTGGTATCCCTTAACTCGGTTCATTTGAAGGTGATCTCTTCCAAAATCTGAGGTGAACAGGATGTTTTTGTTTTATTGTGATCCATAATAACCTTTTAAAATATTGAATTCAGGCCGTCTGAGGGGAAACCAGACTTCTGAACCTCCTCTTTTGGACTCTTTGGTCTTTTAGTCCAGATCAGGTGACATATAAACTTAAACATCTGTGGGTAAAGTAGGAGGATGTGGTGTCTGAACAGCTGCTTAATAGGAAATAAATGTTCTGGCTTGCCTGTGTTTAAAGTGCTTGCATACGCCGCGACTCGTTCAGTGGGAGGGGCTTATACTGAGAGGTGGAGCTTGTAGTTTTTTTTAATTCTACTCATCAGATTTCTGCCTTCTGCGGCTTAAGCAATCCATAATCTGCCAAGTAATCTGCCTCATGAGCCACCCGGAGCAAAGTCAGTTAAGTATTAATAAGATAGTGTTAGAGAAATGGGCTTTTGGCCAAAAGGTGCGCTGGAGCAGACTGGAAAATGAATGAAGAAAGCTGGAGAGGAGCGACTTCCTATCCAATACCGGAGGGGGGTGATGCTGAGGTGATGTGGTCTTTGTAAAAACCAGTCTGCTGTTAGAGTTCACTGACCAACAATATGCATGTGAAGACCCTAAAATCAAGTTTGTAATCTTGTTAAAATGCCCATATTGTGGGTTTTTTTGTATACTGGAGCAAAATAGTTTCCATTTCCAACACTGAAACTTGACTCGTATCTTGCGTTCACTCTCAATAACTATCAGTATCTTGGAAGACTGTAGACATCAGTGATGGGAGTCAGACAAATGAGGCCTGCATGATAAGCACATGTTGGCGATAGACGCTTCATTACCAGCATTAAGAAAGTAGAACAACTTCTCAAATTATTTCTTTTAAAAAGCTCTGTTGGCAAAACAGAGAGAACACGGTTTGCCCTGAGCGCACTAAGCCTTGAGGGTAAAAGGATGGAGGGTAGTTTTCAGGGGTTTTTTGGGAGTCGGAGGATCTCGGATGCTCACGTTGATGACATCACAGAGCTCGTCCGGAGCACAGTGATGACATCAGAGCTGCTGGTTCAATCCAGAGTTGGATTTCAGCGACGGTGGGAAGAAACCCCCCAAAAACCTCTTTAACAGGAAGGAAATGTCGTCTTATTTACATTCTTATTGAAGTTTGTTTACTTGAAGCTTGACTTCACTTGCTTTCTTTTTAAATATGTATTAAGGTGACAGATTCTTTCATCCCTTGTGAGATAAAGGGAAAAGTTAACTCAAAATAAACCTTTACTCTCTTAATTTTCATCAAATTGTTCAGTAGTTATCAATATTGACTGAAATAAGGCATTTTATCGTGATACATTTTTCAGCTATTTCAACGTTTAAGGAGTCCAAGAGTTGTATTTTTTTCGTATTTTTGAATACAAGTCATTTTTGGCTGCTGATTCAACATTTCATTGCACTTTTTTTTTTTTTTTAAATTAGCAAAATCAGACCCATAGAAACCAGCTAACATTATGTAGCTTCCTCTTTCATCACCTCTAATTGACGTCCTGGACTCCATATTGAATGAACAGATATGAGAGCGACATGT